TCATGTTCAATCCCATTTTATCAGTTTGAGTTCAATTCCCATAGTAATTTTATGTTATAAAATCTATTATCAGCAAACGTTATGGATTTAATTGTACAATATTTGTGATTTACAATTGTCCATCTCCATTTAGCCTTTACTGAAAATCCTACTTAATGTGTGAAATCATGTAGATCTTATCTATTAAGTTATGATTGTAGAATGTAGAAAATGTTTATGGTGAATTGCTGTGTTGAACTATAGTTAGTTTGAAATTACATTTGAATCATGTTTTCCTTAATTATTTTTTTTCTCCCATTTCTGTTCAGCTTCTTGTAGCTGGCCATCCCACAGATGTCGAGGATGTTGATCTCTTAATACTTTCATCTACGTGGGTTGGTAGTGCTTTTATGCGACAGGTATCATTTGACCTCTGCATGCCTGGTTTGAAAATTAATTGGTAAACAGGAACTCCTCTTCTGTGTACCTTCAGGCCAGAACTTGATGAGAGGAATTGCATGGTCTTGTAAATGAACTTTTCTGTCTGATTAACCTTACCATTTGAACTTTAGTGGATTTTGGGGGACACTGAATTGGACATGATGTATAAAAACTATAAAACCTAAAGTGTGATTTGAAATTTTCATGCTCATCCATTGTGCCTTTAAATTGCATTTGCTTTTTAGACTCCTTGACACAGCTTTACAGATTTTTCAATATTGTCGCTTCAAAAAGAACAATCAAAATTTGATAGGATGGTACTTTTTTGATCTTTAAAATCAAATTGCTTGCATTTAAAACGTTATGATCTTAAGTGCTCATTACAAAGATCAAATTCTGGATGCAAAAAGAACCCCTCTTTTATCACATCTACATGGACTAACCTTTTGGTTTTTAATAGGGGAGAAATGAAGAAGGCATGGCACACCTGGAAAGATTAGCTTCTCTTGAAGAGCCAATGGATCCAATGACCAAAGCTCATTACTATGATGGATTATTAGTACTCTCTAGGTAATAATCCTGTTTTCTTTTCCATGCACGTGGCATTTAAACACTTTGTAATTCGTATTACTGGAAAATAGACCATCTTACCGGGACTGTCTCAATGGCTTTTCAGTGCTTTATTTGGTGCGGGTCGCAAAGCTGAGGCTGCTGAGCACTTGCGCAGGGCTGCTGCTTATGATCCAGATCGCTATGGAGAATTTCTTGAACAATGTGAAAATGACAAGGACGATTTTGTGAGCGACCTTGTAAGTAGCAGGAGAACAGATTCCTGAATTGCAGCGTGCCATTGGAAGTGAAATCTAGTTTGTAGGTTATGATCTTGATACATTCAGCTCAACTGTCCCCTTCTTTTTGTACTGCTTATGGGTCTTGCCCTTAGGTGGGATGTAAGAATTTTGGTACAAGTTTTGTCGTAACACCATGCAAAATGATGCTCTCCAATCAAGCAAAGGGTGATGTTTACAGGCCATTTCTAGCTTCCTGCTTATCTTTTGAAATTTTTTATTTTTTATTTTTGGCTAAATCACAATACGTATAGTGGGCAAAATGCATAGTATAGGACAAATTGATAAAATTGCAGCTTTTGTCCCTTCAGGAATTCAGGCTCGTCCCAGTTTAGCCCTCACCTTATCTCACATTTTAATGTTTATCTACACAAAACTAGACAATTTAGGATTCCTGAGAATGACTACAAAACCGTGAGCATAACTGCAACTCTGCCCAACTATTAGTGCCCCTCGATGGTAAAATATGAAGGATGACTTAGATTCGTCTGGTGAAAAAGATTCAAGGAGCTTATTAGCTATTCTTGAGATACTGGCCATGGCCTTCGGATCTATGTAATTGAGGATTTGGCTTTAATTAGATAAGAGGTTCCTATATGGTTTCAGCTAGCAAGGACCTTGGCTTTGTCACCCCACTACGCAACTGTGATTTGAATAGAAACCAGCCATCCTACTATCCTCCTCCATCTTTATAAAATGGAAGTGACCAGCTCAACAACGATTATCTGACTACTTATCTGGACAAAGATACAAAAATAGTCTATAACCACGTATATTTATTTGTTATCAACAAAGTACAAAATTCTTGCAGAGATTAACGTAAGATGAATGTATACAGCCCCAGCCTCATTAGGAAACTAGGGCCAGCTATCATTAGGTAGCAAGTGGAAAACTCTTCTTCGATCCTACTGGGCATCCAAACTTGGCAATGACTTGTTCATGATTTGCCTTTCTTCTCTTCTAGTATATGCATGCGCAATAACTTCATTACAATTAGTGGAAAGGTTAGGCAAGCTGCTAGGTTTTGGATTTATTTGTCAGCTCTAGCAAGAAACTAACAGATTCTGTGTAACAAGTGATTCATAGACTTTAACTGAGATAGGCTTTGGATTTATAAGAATGTCGTGTACAAACAGTTGCTTGCTACTACAACTTAATAGGAAAAAAGAAAAAATAACGCGTGGACAAGTTGAACCTCGAAATGGAAACAAATTCTCTTCCATATTCTTTCATTTTTCTTGTTGGTGCGGACTTTTTTAAGTACTGTCAATTAAACATCTCGATGATTCAGCAAATCAGAAGTCCTAGTAGCAGCTGTATGTGGCTAGAAGTAGATGACAAGGGACTTTCTTGAGCTTCTTCACGAGGCTTCATCAAAAACCCTTTTACTACAATGCTTGCACTGTACAATTCATCACTTTGTGAATGGCTTGATATTGTTGTTTCACCCAAATAACTGTTACACAGCAACAAGTGGCACAAATCAGAAGACTGCTATAATTCATCACTGACTTCCAAGTGCCTCTGCCTCAGCTGCGAGCTGATCCTAGTCCACTTACAACAAACAGAAGATGATAATAACCATTGTGTTTCACTTGAGAATGACCATTTTATGATGCATGTTTAATTGATACTCTGGATTTTCTGATAAGCCAATAAGAAAAGAACTCCATGTGGACACGAATAACGTCCATAACATGAGAACCAAAGCCACTATTCCCAAGTTCATCAGCATTTAAGTAATTTATCTGCAGCAAACTTCATAAAACAACAAACACGGACATTACTTGTCAGCTCTAATTCATGTGTGAATGGAAGGAAAATCACGCCTTTGCTCCAAAGAGCAAAATTAAGATCAAGAGGATGTTAATCATTAATCTACATATGTCCACTTTATAAGCACCATAATTGGCAACCATGTAGAAGCACCAGCTGCGTTCATAATTCCATAAAACTGAATTATAATACAGGACTCAATGGTCAAACTATAATTTGTTGTCTGTGACTAGTATTCTTGAATAATCACTCTCAATTATGTTAATGTCCTTGAGCAACCAATTAGATATCTTAGTGCAGACCATTCTGCTAAACCTCTTTGAATGGGCAATCGAGCCTTTTATGTCAAGCACAACAAGAGTGTCTCATAGTCTCTAAAGTTGAATTCCTGAAAATTGAACCTGCAAACATACTCTATTCGTATTCCAGCATAGCCAGCAGAGGCAAATGAATGACTAACTGAATACTACATAAGAAACAAAAGATCCTGAGTGTTGGTCCTGACACACCAAAACAAAAAAAAAAAGGTTCTACAATCTACACACTTCATGGATTTAGTATTATGATAAACCAATACAAAAAAATTGATACCTTTTAGCCCCATATGTTATACAAAGCCAGATCCCAAACAGTTGAGACAATGTTGCACCCTACAGCCAAGAATAAACAGAAATTAACCTTCTCAAAATTTCATTCTCACAGAGAAGAAAATGATTAGTTTTCTGACTCACTTTAACCCATCGCAAGTGGGGCAAAGACATGGGTTTATAACCAAAGGATCATACAATGGTGACCACTGAATGGTACCACTTGCTTTGCATAGCTTACAGGGATAAAAACCCCTTCCTTTGCATGCCCTACAAGGCCTTCCATATTTTTCCTGCAAATGAAAAAGAATAGTAAAAGAGTACGACTTATACACAGTATGGGGCTGAAGACTTGAACTAAAATGAATCATTGAGACGTCAAACATAGACAATCACAAGATAATATTAATGTCTTTTAGCAACTCATAGTGCTATTACTTCTTATAAACCTGAAAGAATAAACGGAAAGCCTACGAATTGAACCCAAACAGGACCAAAACAGAGATTTACTTGCATACAGGAAAGCATTTTCTTTAGATGCACATATTTGAAATTCCTAATTCCTAACAAGAAGCAATCAAGCCAAAGATCATATTTAACGCTATAGCCGCATGAAAATCAACACGAACAAGAACTTCAGTCGGCAGGAACAACTTTACAAAAGGTTAGAAATTTTCGGTACCTTTTTCTTTGAGATACCATATCGAACAAGTGAAGAGGTAACAGCAGAGATAGTAAATGCTCCACCAAGGATCACAGCAGCCGATGTGGCTAATATGGGCAGTGCCTTCAGAAAACCTTTTCCTGGCATAGTTGACTGCAGCTGGCAACTTTTGCAACAAAAGCACACCACACTGCAAACCTGCAAGCGCACGGCAAAAGAAGTACGAATATTCTGTAAATAAAAACGAGTTGCAGATTCAAGCTTATCCACTCCACGTATTAACTCAAAAAGATTTCCACAACAAATACATAAGTGCATAACCTTTGTGCTGTCTACAATTTATAGTGCATTCAATCTTTGATTACGTTCTTGCTGCTCCATAATCCAAAAAATTTGTGCTAGGAAAGATGGTGCGTAAATGTGATAATTTGAAACGAGGGAACTCCCAGGGCAGCACGTTATCCTAAGTGTTAATGTAAAAAGTTCCTTTCTTTCAGTATTGGAGTTTGCCCAAAAACTCAATTCTATCTAAAAGAAATCACTCCTGTAAAAGTATTCAAATTCTTGTTTTCCAGAAAAAGAGAAAAGCGGAGTGCACAATTCTCTTTATAGAAAGAAAACGCAAATGAAAAGACCACCAATTGATCGACCAAAAACTGAAATCATTAATTAAAGAGCAATGCCAAGAGGGTCAAGGTTTAGGCAGCTCACTGACCTCATATAATCCAAGAAGAGCTTAGATTTTAGCCCAGCAATATTGATAAAGCTTGGCCACAATTTTGTACCCCTTTTCTGCAAACAAATTAACCGATGTAAATGCAGGAACTTTTGCAAAGTTCAGGGCTTGAGGGCAGCCAAGAGAAAGGGAGCGGAGAGGGAAAGATAAAATGACAGGAATAAGTTGAGAGATGGAACCAACTGTAGAACAGAACCGGTGTCGGTTGTGCCGAAGAAGCTAAATTACTGGCTAGAATTGCACTTAGATCCCTATTATCTTATCAAATTCCAACAGTATACCCCAATAAGATTCACAAATGTACGGTGCCTGGCATTGGCCTGCACATGATTTTCTTATGCTACTCCTCCTATTCGTCTTTTAGCTTTTGCTTCTGTTCAGTTTGCTTCCATCTTTTTGCTTTCCTTGGCCTGATTAGTGATTACCTGTCAACAGTATATATTTTTGTCTTCCCATCCTTGATAATTCCCACATATCATACTTAAGGCTCCCAACCATAGTTCTTAACTTCTTATCCCTCAAAAAGTTAAAATAAAGATCACGCCTTTTGTTTTGCCCAGTTCTAAAACATTCTTTACTTCTGGACTTCTCCAGAAATCCTTTTCTTCCTCCTCTCTTTTTCCTTCTTTCCCTTCCTCCACTTCATTGATAACTCCACCGAAACTTCAAAGCCCCGTTAAAATTTCCCAAACCCAAGTTATTAATGAACAAGTAATCATCAATAAGCAGAACACATATCCCAAGATTGGATTTTTGCACCAAAACGTTAACTAATTAGTAGAAAATAGCAACATAATGCAATGCCCAAGTAATGCTTTCCGGTATAATACAAGTTTTTGTGCTTGCAACCCTGGTTATATCTTCAATGGAAGTAGAAGAAGCTGCCAACTGTTCTTGGGGTGGGAGCCGGTGGAGATGCAGTCAGGGGTGGATTACTCCATTGGTTTCCCGATGACCATCTTCAATTTTGACTCCATTAAGAAGTTCACTCAATCACAAGCTGTGTTTCTTGAGGCTACGCTTCTGATGCTGCTGAGTTGGTTGTTGTTGTGCTTGATTTTGCGCCTTGTGGGCCCTCTTGGCGACGGCCGCTCGCCGTGGTTCAGGATCCGCTGGTGGATTAGCCGCTTGGATGTCTGCTTTGCCACCCGCCACTGGCTTGTAAGATTTTACTTTCAGCTGATTTGTGCTATAGATAGAGCCAGAGCTAAATTGCAATTATTGAAGCATAATGTGCGACAAATTTGCTGTTTTTTTGGTGGATTATTACTTTTTTGGAAATATATGCGATAAAATTACTTGTTTTTGGTGCAATTATTTGCTTGCAAGTTTTGGGGGGAAAAATTAAAAAGAAAAAGAGAAAGCATATGCGATTATAGGTTTGTAGATGAGTAGTTAGTATCAAAACCAAGATATAAATGTGAAATTCAAACGTGACATTGTGTGATTTGCTTAACCAAGTGGCTGGACATACAAAATTGAATCTATTATTGGCTGCCTGGAGTTACGTTTTGGTGCTAGATTATGATACTTCAACATTTACACGTATGTATACGCTTCTATGTTAACTATATGTTGGACATAGAAAGTTGAAGCCATTAGCGTGTGCCTAGAATAACATTTTGATGTTAGATGTCTGATACTTCAACATTCACACACGTATGTATACTTGAACCACATTAACTATCAGAGCTAATGTCCTAATGGCTTGGGATAAACATCCAGTTGGGTAACATTAAAACGCTAGTTCATAGTGAAATACACCGTTCGGACAAGCACCTCGGTTAACACCTCATCATCGCCGCTTAACGCATAAAGTACATCTTTTTGAAAGAGTTTATCTGTTATTGCATCCAATGTGGGACATCTGTTTTAGACTATCTTGGCTTCCTATTTGAAACATGTAACTTCTCTTATTTGGGCATGCAAAAGTTCAATATTATTTAGATAACTTCATTTTACATCTGACTGCTTACATGAGTTTATGAATATTGTGATGTTTTTTAGGATGACCAGAAGGTAGTTATGAAGCGCAAAACAGAGCTTGGTGGAACCTTCTCGATTGCAAGTTGGATCCTTTTTATTGGTCTGTTTGCTGCGTGAGTAAAGATATTATTTATTCATTGTAGTAATGAGTTTCTTTTTGCAAGATTTTATATCCACGTGCTGCATTCCTTCTGTTAGTGATGGTATAATTGCTTTTTTTTTTCCAATGGTTATTGTACTTTGATAATGACAGTTAGTTTATTATCTTCTGCAGTTTGCTGTACCATGTCATATCTAAGAGAAGTGTGGAAGTGCATAGTGTTAGAGCAATAAATGCACCTGATTTAACCTCTTTTGTGAATGACATGGAATTTAATATCACAACTATTTCTAGCATGAGCTGTTCGAATTTACGTGGGCTTGGGACATTAGTTGCCGGGAATCCAGGAACCCTTGATTCTAAAGTTGCTCCACTCTCTAGCTTTGTCAACTTTTCTTGCCTGAATACCAGTACAGGACCCACCATCACCCTTCAGTGTAACAACTGCCAGATTGTCCGAGGTGTTGCCTATATATCATGGCAATTTGTTGATCTCCCAAATGATCCTGCTACTGCTGTTGGATACCAGTTCAAACTAACTGCTAAAAGGCATGGTGATAAGAAGCATTTAAGCTCTGTCAGTGGAACATTAAACAGTAATAGCAATGACCAGAGCAAACCAATTACATTTAGGGGGCCAGAGCCAAATATATTGAAATTCAATCTATTTCCTAGACATTACCGTAATATGCATGATCTAAGGCTCATCCAACCATTATTTCATGATTTCCTTCCGGGCTCATCTTTTACTGATATCAGTCAACTTCGAGCTTCTCTTGAGAACTCCAATGATGGTTTGATCAACACCACCCTGTATGTCAATTTTCTCTCTGACTATATTATTGAGATTGACAGCCAGAACACTGTGGGGCCTGGTGAGTGATTATCTTGATTTTTAAGTCACGCTCATTCTTTGGAATATTCTGTTTTTGCTGCCTGACTTTGTCCTTTTGCTACTATTTTTTGCTGAATTTTTCTCGCTGCAGCTATTATGCATTGCATTGTCTGATATGAACTATAGTGTCATTGGTGAAGTTTCATTATATTCTCCAGTTGTCTGCCTATTATGCATGTGTTCCCTCTCTTAGGAAGCCATATTGAATGAAAAATCTTCTGCATTGGTTCACTTTTTTCAGTGCCACCCTCTATTCTTGTCAGTTTTACAACATCATGCTCTTATGGCATCCTGAAGCACTTACAGTTTGATTGGAGCTTATAGCTTTCTCTAATAATTTCGTTTTTGGAGATTTGGGCTCTATTTTGGAACACCTACTGGCTTGTCTATCAACGTGATTTGGATTCACACCTGAATAAAATCTTTTCGGTCAATAATTTGATGCTATATTCCTTTTCCAAGGATTGCAGTTAGCTTCTTGGCGGATTTGGGTGGCCTTTATTGCTTCAGTATTGGCATTTTCTTCTATTTCTTGGTGCAAGTATGTTCTTTTTAATCCAGCATTTCACTTTGCTTTCCTTATGAATCTCCAATGAACTTGATATGCTGTGGCGTTCTTTTGTTTGAGCATAGTTCAGGGGAATGATCCTAGTAATTTGTTTTTCCTCCAAGTTTTATCTTGAAATCATTTAATCATAGCTCAGGGAAATGATCCTTAGCCTTAGAAAATACCCTGTGATTATTATTTATTGTGCTTAAAGTTATGCATTGCATCAAAAGTAGCATCTCTAAGTTTGAGGTCTGATCATATTAGACGAGTAATACCACATCAATACTAGATGGATAAAGTATTCAAAGCATCTCTTACAAATGGGTCTATCATTTTTCTCTTAATTTTTCATTTTCTTTATATATTTTAAAGGCTTTTGGAGTTTGGAGGAGTCAGGATTGGCTTGATGGAATTCTGCAGTTGTTCCGTGCTCTAAGGTTTTGAAGCCTGCTAAATAGGCATTATACCTGGAAGTCTTATGGTATTACATACTGCCATAATGACTTAAAATTCCCATGAAATTCCTGCTACAAAATAAAATTTGAAGAAGTCCAGCCAGTAGTTTTCCAATGAGTTAACAAAGTGCATGATACCTTTGTAGATTTAGTGGCTGTACAGTTTGGAAAAAACAAGTTGCAAATGAGACCTTCTCCCACATTGCTGGCATGATTTTGTGCTTAAAATCGTTGCAAAAAGCCAGACATATTTCATAATCCTTGATACACACACCACACCTTTCAGGAAAGAAAAAGAAAACATTGGAAAGTCTGAAGGAGAAATTACAAGTATCCCCATCAACATTCTTGCAGATGGGTTTCAGTTTTGTTTAAGGAAATATGGTTTTGAGCTGCGGATTGAAGACATTCACCAGAGGTTGATAGAGATTCATGAATCACTCTATTATTTACTAGTTCCAGAGAGCCACCACGTTATCTTGTTAAAAGGATATTCGGATATGTTTTCTTTCTTCTTTATATTTGATTTGCATCCTTAGTTACCTTGATGTGAAACTAATCTTTATCAACCATTTCACATGTCCTCCTCAATTATGTTACTATACAGTCAAATCTTCAGAGCCATTTGATCACTGGAAATTTTCCCTAGTAACGACCAAAATTTTTGTTCTAGATTTCGGGTGTCGATTGACCACTAAAATTAACTTAATAATGGAAATTAAAAAGGTATTTATGGTAGAAAAACAGTATGGAGCACGTTGAAATTTCCTACTAAACAGAAAGGAGTTTTCCTTTTGATGCTTGGACTATTCAGTTATACTAAACAGAAAGGAGTCATAGAATTTCCTAACCATCTTATTTTACAGTTCGAATACAGGATCAAGAAGCTTCGACACGAGGATAGTGTAATGAGAAACATCAGAAATCGTCGAAAAGCTCAAGAACGTTGGGATAAAGTGAGTTTTCTTGCATAGAGATAACAGAAACAAGTTTTCTTATTTTGGGTTGAACCTGTTTTATACTACATTGACACAAGAAATTCTGTACTTATGATTCAAGTTGTTTGTTTAACTAGTTGTATATTTGTTCTCAAATAGCTGAGGAAATATGTGATGTATACATGGGGACGCAGCTCACTGGATGACAGCCATACAAACGTGGGAAATGGAGGATGCTGTAGCGGCATTGCGGTGGAGTCTTTCCAGAAAAGCAAATCATCACATAGAACAAGACAGCATAAAAATTTGGAGATGATCAGTTTTAGCAGAAACAGCAACCTACCTAGTCATCAGGTAGTTAATCAATTATGGCAGAATAACATCAGTAAATGCTACCTATATAGTTTTATTCTTATTTAACAGTTGGAAATTTCTAATCAAGTGAATTGATAATCTACCCAACAGCAAGCTGTTCCTGAAATC